AATAATCATTTTATCATCACGCATATTTCCTGTTTTATTGGATCGATCTATGTATCTAATCATCGCGATAAGCGATCCAATTTTATCGTACAATCTCAAGCGCAGGACAATTTAGCGACAAAAAGAAACTCGAGAAAAATATAATCTCGAGATAAAAATAAGTCTTAGCTCTTTCAGCGTTAAGTGTTGAAATACATTCGCGTCCCATACAATCCACAATTGATGCATGTTCGTGTATTTGAATGGCCCACTTTATATGCAACACCCAAAATAAATTTATTACCAAGATTGTGTGCGCAAGCGCTTTCTGTCACATTTTTCTTCAGCAATAATTGATAAAAATAATATCTAATTATTGTACTTGCGCAAAAAAAATCAGATTGTACAATACATAAAAGAGATGAGAGTACTAGATCGATGAATGGTAGCTTGTTGCGTTAGAGTGACGCGAGACTATAAATAGATAGTAATTGCAGGAATAATTTACATCTTGCTAAAAGGTTTGCGGTCGACAGCCTCCGCGATCGTACTTGGCAGTGCATTGACTTTGTGACGAGGAATACATTTCTTCTTAATGCTTTTTAGCGATTTGTACGTATGCTGTGACGAATTCGCGGTTTAGTAATTACTATATAGGAACGTAGATTGCTATTCAGCGACGTTACGGTGATAACGTAAATACAGACTAGACGAGAATAACTCCAGGTTGACACATGCTTGCGTACGTCAAACCACTAGCAATAAATCTAACTCAGTCATTAAGCCAGTTTAGATAAACATGATATTTGGCGCATCGCCCAAAGGAGGAATTTAAAATTGTGAAATATTGCTTGCGCGCAAATATTCTGAAAGCAAAAAAACAAGAATTGATAAAAAGAAATTAAAAACTTTATTTAATATTAATGGCAGAATGTTTTTTTGACCAAAAGTACGCATTTGATTCTTGTTATATAAAAAATTGTAATTTTATTAAACATATAAAACATATTTTATGTATAATTTATATATATATATATATAATCATATCTTTAAATTAATTTTTTTGTCTCTTTCTTTCGAAAGTAGAAATTGCCATTGCGTCAGGCTCGCTTTATTTGATCGGCGTGATTGTGTAAAAATTATTAATCGCGCGCGTGCAAAATGTAAACACACGCCGAGTGACAGCTATATGCAACTATGCAGCATACATATACATTCGATCATCGTTGCGATTCGTGTGTTACAAGTGCATATGTTGTTACTGTGTATTTAAATCACCAAAGAATGGTGTTTTTTATCACCTGTTTTTTTTGTCTAGAAGAAACGCTGTTACTTTTATCGAGAATCTCCGTTTGTTTTGAGTAATTAACAAAACTATTTCAGTCGATTATTATCAATCATGATAACATCTTATTGATTATTGATAATGTCTTCATTGCCATTCCCTATTTTTCACGCTTGATAAAAATTTCTCATACTGCTCTATTAAAAATAATCATAAAAATCGTTAAAAAAAATAAATATATACATAGAGAGAACTTTATCCTAGAATTTATCCTAAAAATCATAATTGTGGGACAATATGGTATTGGAAGAATTTTATAAGAGTTTTCTCTGATTAAATATTTACCACAATAAAAAATATTAATATGCACATACATAGTACATTAAATTTTACTAAGATTAATATTTTAGTAAAATTAATCGAACATATTTGATATCTTATTGTGGTAGATATTAATATTTTGTATTAAAAATATTCATCAGAGAAACTCTTATAACATTCTTCCAATATAATAATTGTCCCACAAATAACGTGATTTTCAGGGTAAATTCTAAGAGAAAATTCTCTCCGTGTGTAAAAAAATCTTTAGTCTCCAGAAGACCTACACTTTTGCGGCTTCGCATGTCTATTGGATTTTACGTCTCGGTATTTCTCGAAGAGAGGTCAATAAATAGTATGAAAAAAAGACGTGACTTGGTCTTCGAGAATCGGCTAAATATTATTTGCAGACGATTTTAGAAGGTATATGAGGTACGACTCTCTTTCTCTCTCGCTTGCGGTTTGTATCGCCCGGGGGCTGATTGCTCTCTAATAGCTCGGCGGGAGTAATTAGAGGGAGAGGGGCCGTTCACCCGAATTTCATTGAAGTCCCCGTTTCTCGAAGCAGGGGCTGGAAAGATCGGTCTACCTCGGGGCACGTACGCCACACGCGTACGTGCGTTGCATAATGCGCGGCATCGGATTTGCGCTTCCGCAGCGGCATCAATTTAACAATTATTCTCGTGATTGACGCCGGAAGCTTGCACTTGCTCATCCCGAAAACCCGCAAGCCTGCATAGCGACCCAAAGTGCAATCGATTTCCGCCAGCTCGATCTCTGTTCGATCTAGAAGAGTCAACAATTTTAGACAAAAATCCTCACTTTTTTTACATCGAATTTCCTCTTAGAATTTAGTTTTATGAGAATTTCTCTGATTAATATTTACCGCAATAAAAAATATTAATATGTACATAATAAAATTGATCGAACATATTTTATATCTTATTGTGGTAGATATTAATATTTTTATTGTGATAAATATTAATCAGAAATATTTAATAATTCTCACGGTAAATTCTAAAAGAAAATGCTATCTGTGTTTATAAACCTGTAAATACATGCTTATTTGAAAAAAAGATTCAGTATACGAGTATTATCGTACACTGAAAAATTTTTTTACTTGACTAAAAAAAAAAAAAATAAATAAATTACTATTTTATTAATTGAACATAATTAGTATTTAAGTGAAATATACATGTTTATTAGATTTTAGACGTTAGATTTAATATGTTACATTTAATTTAAATATTTTTTTATATGTTCAATTAACGAAATAGTATTTAGTTGAATAATTTAGTCAAGTTAACAATTGTTTTTCATTGTATCAAAAGAAGTATTATCTTATTCTAAACCTTACATCGCGCAATCTTTGTATCAGGATCAAAGATTAAAATCGGGTAAATAAATTTGTGTACCGCCAAATTGGGACATTATTTTAATACGTATAACTGTGTATCTTAACTGCGATATCTCCGCGATGATTATTAGGTAACGATATATATGAATCATTATCGATTTTGAAGTTTATTCTGAGAATGGATTGCGTGGACCATTTCCTTGGCAAGAAAGCAAATTTTTACCAAGAGTATACATTTGCAAGAGATATTTGCAACGCGCGTTCTTTCAGATTCGATTCAACTGCGTCAACGATTTGACGCGCAAAATTGACACAAACTATATGTAAACTCTATCATTATCACTATTATTTACATTACGCGGGGATTTCTGTCACAAGATGTAATGTCATATGTCTGTGAATCATATCCTCTGTGCGTAAGTTCTTATATAACGACAAGTGCGCTTTGAGGATTCTTATGCGTTTTATAATTCACATCTAGGCAAAATACGTGCATGGAATTAATATCGCAATAAAAATATTCATTTTATCGACGTAATAAAATATTTCGAGATTTGTAACGTAAAGAGTGATGGCAAATTTCGCCCATTTTTGGGACCTCGAATTTCAAACTTTTTCTCATGGCAAATAGTACTATTAGATGAAACATTAGTCCCAGTAAAATTTCAAGATGAGTATAGGCACAGTTCTGTAAATACAAGGGGGAAAGTAATGATATGTTAGTCAATTCTATGAGAAATTATCACTTTCACTTCTTCATATCTGAGGAACCGTGCCTATGCTCATCTTGAAATTTCTCTGGGATTTATGTCTCATCATATCGTACTATTTGGCATAAGAAAAGTTTGAAATTTCAGGTCCCAAAATTCGACTCTATAAAATGGGCGAAAATATTCTATACACGTAAAAATATTCTGTATTATTTTTTTTCTAATAATACACTATTAATTTATGATTTATAATAACACAAGGAAGACACGATACACTTTATGATTTAATAAGAATAAAATTCCGCAACTATCTTCAATACTTTGATTAAGAATGAAAAAATGCTTTATCTCAAATATTTCTATTATCTTAAATAACAAAAAATGATACACTTTACTGATTTAAGAATAAAAAATAACATTCCGTATGTAACTATGTCGAACTATGTTTGATTAGCAATGAAAAAATACGTTATCTCGAATATGTCACTATTAACTCGTCTACATAAAAAACGCAAAACGCAGTTCGCAGATGCAGAAAAACGCAAATAAAAACAAACATACACTTCCACATCTGTATATATTGTGCGCATTTAATTTTATGTATACATATTGTACGCAATTATAATCACATCTTTATTAACTTTCTTTTACAATAATCTGTCAAAACGTCTCAAATTCTTGTACAGAATATTTATATTAATTTTTATATATTATAATCGATATATTAATTTTGCAATACAGGAACATTTTATTCTTTATAAATTTATATATGAATATAATAGAGGCGATATGAAGAAAAAGATATGAAAATAACACTACTATATTATGTATAAATTATATATATATATATATATATAAGAAATATATGCGATTTTATATAATTATAATTAATATATATATAATTCTCTTATCAGAACTGCATTCCATACAAAGAAAATTTTCTCTTAGAATTTATCCTGAAAATCGTGGTAATCGTGGGACAATATGATATTTGAAGAATTTGTATAAGAGTTTCTCTAATTAATATTTACTATACAATAAAAATTATTAATACCTATACCACAATAAGAAATAAAATATATTTAATTAATTTTACTACGTACATAATAAAATTTACTATGTGCATATTAATATTTTTCATTGTGATAAACATTAATCAGAGGATAAACTCTTATAAAATTCTTTCAATACCATATGTATTGTCTCGCGATTATCATAATTTTCAGGGTAAATTCCAAAAGAAAATTCTCTTCGTATAGAGAATATCAAAATGTCACCTGAAAAAAAGACCGTTTATTCGCTCCCTTCCTGGAAGAGAAGATTCATCGGCGGCGCCTCAACCCTTTCGCACATCCGTTCTCCACCTTCGACTTCGTCATCGGAGCCGGGGAACCGGTGCGAGGAGGGAGAGAATGAGTGACATAAAAGTGGAGCGGTGTCGAGGCGCAGCGCACTCTACGGCGATAATCAGGCAGAAGGAGAGAGAGAAAGAGAAACGAGTGTAGAATTTCTCTCCCACGCACGTCACGCATGTCATCAGACGATCGGACGTGATCGGCCACCCTCGCGACTACAGACCATCGGAGCAGAGCGAGTTGAGTTCGTCAAACCCACCTGGGCCACTGCGAAGCAAGCAAGCATCTAGATAGAGGAGGATCCAGATAGAGGAGCCAGATAGAAGAGTGACAGCTGCGTGGTCCAAGTGTCCCGTTCGAGGATCTCTTGGAGCTCGTCTTGGTCCATTGAAGAAGACCGATAAGAGGAGATATCCTCGTCCTTGAAAAATCACCGATATCACGACACATCGGCAGCGGAGCGCCATGTGTGTACGTACGTTGGCTGGTAGCGAGATGGGCGAGACGATGACCACTCCGTCCGATTCGAAGCAGAGAAGCAAGTTGTCCCACGTCAAGAGGAAGTACAAGAAACTCCACGAGGAGATGCTGCAGGAGGAGCTCCTGCGCCGCCAGGAACAGGATCGGAGGAACGCGATGTACCTGCCTGATCTGGCAGACAATGTCCTGACTGCCAGCACGACTTCCTACAGCTTGTTGCTGAAGAACCTGGCCGAGTACTACGAGGTCGTGCGTCGCACCAAAGCATTCAAGTAAGTATAAGAAGAGGCCTTTTCCTTATGGGCAAAAATTAACTATTACAGCTGAATTTTAATTGAATCCAGTTATCGTGCCTAAAAGGTATGATAGCTAATATTTTTTAGCTGGAGCGTTCTTCGTTAAACTATAACTAAAAAATATTAGTTATCATATCTAAAAAGGTATGATAACTAAAATGCAGGTTGTAAAATACATAGAGAGAATTTTCTCTTAAAATTTATCCTGAAAATAGTGATAATCGTGGGACAATATGGTATATTGGAAGAATTTTACAAGAGTTTCTCTGATTAAAAATATTTAATATTTCTACACATAATTATATCAACATAACATATTTAAATAAAATATAAAACATGTTCAATTAATTTTACTATGTACATAGTAATTATCAGAAAATTATCAGAAAAACTCTTGTAAAATTCATCCAATACCATATTGCGCCATGATTTTCAGGATAAATTCTAAGAGAAAATTTGCTCCGTGTAGGAACAGCTAAAATTTAGCTACGGCAATTTATTTTTCGTGCTTTCTTGATGTAAGATTTGAACGAAAAAGTCAATTTCCGTATCAAAATCGACAGGCATATTTTTTTCGGATTTATCTGATTCTTGTCTCTCTCATCGATGAGATGCTTTGTTCTATCCAGAGACCATTCTCTTCGGAGAAGGCAGATCTGGAAGTTGGAATCCTTTCTTGTTCCTTTGAGAGGATCTCACACACATTGTAATTTATACACGGAGAGAATTTGCTCTTATAATTTACCGTGAAAATCATGATAATCGTGAGACAATATGGTATTGGAATTTTATAAGAGCTTTCTCTGATTAATATTCAGCAATAAAAATATTAATATGTACATAGTAAAATTAATCGAACATATTTTATATCTTATTGTTGTATAGATATTAACATTTTTTATTGTGGTAAATATTAATCAGAGAAACCCTTAAAAAAAAAAATTCTAAATTAATTCTAAGAGAAAATTCTCTCTGTGTAGATGCAATGCTTCAATCTCTCACTCGTCAACTTTTGACAAAAATCTTACATATTTATAATACTTGCAATTTTTAAAGTTATAAGTTGTAAGACACTTACAATGAGTGTCGCAGATAAAAGAGAGGTCTCCGTACATACAAGATTTACTGTTGAGAAATAAGACTAGTAGATAAAAATAAAAAGCGATCGCTATCGTAAAGCTTCTACATGTAATACGCAAGACGTTTCTATATAAGTAATATTCTTGCATATAAATAATTGTCTCGAAATCATTTCACATACACGATTTAGCCCCCTCTGAGATTTATTAAAAATCTCATCACGATTATTCATCAGATGGATAATATCAAGTCCAAATATATATATCACTAAAAAAAAAAAAATCATTTAATTATTCAAAAAAATTTTATTTTAATACTTTTTTATACATCATTTATTTGAAACTAATAATATTGATTTGCCGTGAAAAATATTTATTTGATATAAGAAATCCTTTTTTAAAACAAATAAATATTATTTGAAATCAATAGTTTTTTTCAGTATATTTATATAATGCAAATTAATGAATATAGATATGTATATTGATTTTTCTAAATAAATTTCCAGCTAATAAAGTCACAAAAATAATTCTTTTTATCAATTTTTTATAAAATGCGAACAAATAAGTGAAGATATGTATATGTAATTTTATTAGCTCGAAATCCATTGAGAAAAATCACGCAATATATATGTATATATATATATATATATATATATATATATATATATATATATATATATATACATATGTATCTTCATCCATTTCTTCGCATTTTATAAGAAAAAGCAATATATCAAAAAGATAACGAATTGTTTTTGTAACTTTATTAACTCGAACTTCATTCAGAAAAAAATCACGCAATAATACACTAACACCTTGTTAAATTTCAATGATAAAATATCTCGCGCATAATCTCGCAGAACAAAGGTTCATCGCGAAACAAAGTTGAAGCTTAATAATGCGACTCCAATTAGCAATGTTAGTCTTTTTAAGATTGTTTCTACGAAGAGATCGATTTCCTAAAATTCCTAGATATATCTTAAAAACGCGATTATCACGAGTAAATAAATAAATAAATAAATAAATAAATAAATAAATTGGACATATATCTTAAATTTTCATTTTTAAAAAATTAAATAGATTTAGTGACTTCTAAAAAATTGACATAGTTATTTATATCATAACTTTATCTATACACTATTTCAATAGTCATTGATATATTTAGATTCTCTATATTACGTAGATTCTAGTACGACACGCGATAAGAATAATCGTTAATTGGATTTTGATATTGCCGAGAAAAGTCTTCTCGTGATAAGACCCTTCCGGTTATTGATTTAGAAGATATCGGATTTAATGGTTTTCTCGAAATCAAGAGGTCATCCTTAGATCATACCGAAGAATTACGTATCATATCTCGATGCGTAGCAAGATTACGTATGTTTCTAACGTTTGAAATTAATCATTAAAACGGAAAAGCATTAATTGACATGTGACGTAAACCGAGAATGCGATAAAATACGCAAAATTGTACTCCGCAATTATAAATCGATTAAAAAATCTATTTTCACGATAAATTTTCCGCGTTACATACGACGTATTTATTGCCTTCCTTTTCTCATTTATGAGACATACATATCTAGTCGGTATTCGCCTTTGATCTCTATTTTCGAATCGTCGTGCGCGAAAGTAACGATTCATTAACGTGCGAAGACGTCATCGGGGAAATGATAATTCAAAAGGATTTCTCTTTTTATTTTCTCCTTATTTTTATATTTATCATTTGGACAATAAATGTCCTTTATTGTCCCCAAGTTAGGAATGAGTCATGTCGCGAGAGATCATATTATTTTTTTTCAATTCTTCTATATAAATAGAAATATGTATTTATTGAATTAAAATATTTAAAAAATGCGTATTTAAAATTTTTTTTATATTTTTAAAAATATTATTAAGTATAAATAGATCGCGTTTTTATTTGACAAATGACACGTCTTCTCTTTATTCTCTCTATTTTTGCTAAAGATTCCAATGACGTTGCAATCTTTTTCGAAAGTTTTTAATAACGTCTCGAATTATTTTTCCGATGACATATCTTCATCACGTTTTTTTTCTTCGATATTTTGCGATTTCGGTTTGTAAATCTCTAAAGATAAAAAATGAATGGAAAAATTCCACAAACTTCCGCTTTCGATTCGACGTAAAGTTCGTCATATCGATAACGCGATATTCCAACAATTCCGTATAAATTCTGCAAACGCATCTTTTATCTATAATAAATAATTGCACTTCTGCGCGTAATCGAGAGACAACCGCGCGCGATCTAATAAATCGTTCTCAGTTTATCATGTATAATTTTCTCGGGCGTTAACATCGCGTGCCTGTAATTAGCTGGGGCGATAATTGGGTAATGATTACGTGTGTCTACGGCGTGTCTCGTGCGGGAGCACATGACTGTATAATCGCACCGTTCTCTCGGAAAATGAGAGACGAATGTGAATAATGGATGCATTCTTTCGAAGGACGTAAGCTTCTATTTTTCCAGAAGCCGTCTATAAACAGATTTACATCTTTTTTTTTATTCATTTTACTCCTCTTTTATTGTATTATATTCTGTTTTAACATTTATATTTTATAATATATTTTTTTTATATATAAAATCAGCAAAGAAATAATTATATTTAAATAATAATTATATAATGAATACTAATATTTATTATAAGGCCTCAACAAGCATGTAATGAAAAGATACTTTATTGCGAAATTGTTACAACATAAAAGATGCGAATTACAACCGTAAATTAAAATTTTTTTCCTTTTTCAGAAATATATTTCTTAATTACTAAATATATTAATGAATCGAATTATTTCATAAAAATTGCGGATACAAGCTATGAATTAATTACGAAAATAAGTTACATTATAATAATTATCCGTGATGATACGCTAACATAAAAAACATTTTAATAAATATACGCGAACATACGCAAGACGTTTCGACACTCACTTGTGTGTCTTCAGTTGCTTCACCGTCAATTATTCAATTATAATGTTGTATTCTGTTAAAATGTAAAGATGTATGAGTATTTATATCTGAAAGACAGAGTCAATAACTAATACCTGTTACAATAATGGAACCATCCTTGTATTTGATGTCTGTAATTAGCGATCTGCTCCATTCTGTAGTCCATGTGTGTAAAACGTAAAATGTTATTTGTTACAGCCTTAGTTTTAATATTGACAATAAGACGGATCGACTAGTTATGCTATCATAAAACTGGTAATGACTCAATATATACAAGACTCTCTCTCCTTCTTTACATCTTTTTTTTTTTTAATATAAACATCATGTATAAGACAACTACAAGCAAAAAATTGGATATGTTTATAATTTGTTCTTTATTATTGTCAATAACTGACAACACACAATGTGCTTTATCTAAATATTCACTATCTTCGTTAGCCTTTGAAACCATTTTTTGTTGATTTATATGGTTTCTGAGATAAACCTTGTGTCATAATAATTAATTACAATGTCAAGGATTCCATCTCCTTGGGTCAAGTCTCCATGTCTCAATCCTGAAGATGCAAACTGCAACGTTTGCGAAATGTCTGCATGATCACGCGGCATCCATCCGAAAGTCTTTTGCATTGACATGTTCAGTTTGGTGTTTGTTGTTGTCAACATGATGTTGTTACTTTCATATTAAAAAAAAAAATGTAAAGAAGGAAAGACAGTCTTGCATATATATCGAGTCGTTACCAGTTTTATGATAGCATAACTAGTAGGTCCGTCTTATATCATCAATTAAAACTAAGGCTGCAACAAATAAGTTTTACACACATGGACGACTACCGAGTGAAGCAGATCACTAATTACAGACATCACATACAAGCATGGTTCCATTATTGTAACAGGTATTAGTTATTGACTCTATCTTTCAGAGATAAATATTCATACATCTTTACATTTTAACAGAACACAACATTATAATTGAATAATTGACGGTAAAGTAACTTTTCATTATATGCTCGTTGAGGCCTTGTAATAAATATTAGTATTGTTTATACACGAGCGAAAATTATTTGGGTAATATATTTAATTATATAATGATTATATAAATATTAATTATGTAATATGTAAATAATATAACGATTAATCTAACATTATCCTTTGGTAATATATAATGTATGCACTTTTTGCGCGAAAGGTGCTGCGGTAATCTTGTTTGCACAGCAAAGTTTAATCGAAGATAATCGTGACTTCCTCGCGTTGAAATCGCATACGCGATGCATTCTCGGGCTGACACAGCATACATTCACGCGTGATACAAACTCCAATAAAAAAAAAAATAATTACAGGTTCCGGGCGTTTCGGACAACCGCAGAAACCCGTTTGTAATGCAAAGGCGTAGGAATAAATCTCTTATCGAAGGCGGTCCTCATTAAATGGCTCGGTTCGTCGATCGATTGTTCGGATGTCTCGAATATTAGTCGGAATTAGTCAATCGTCTCCGATAATTGCTCTTGCAAAACGACCGTGCTTTAACGATTCTTCAATAAATATCATTAATCAGATCGCGTCAGTAAATTATATATCACATATATGAGTCATAAAAATTGCATATGAAGATATATGGCATATGAGTCGGTCTTATACAATATATAAAGAAGAATCATCGGAAAAAATGTTTCTTGCACTCTTTATTTTAACACAATTTTTTTATATATTTATACACAGAAAGAATTTTTCTTAGAATTTACCCTGAAAATCATGACAATCGTGGTACAATATGGTATTGGAAGAGTTTTATAAAAGGTTATTATCACAATAAAAAATTAATATCTAATCTATCACAATAAGATATAAAATATCTTCAATTAATTTTACTATATGTACATATTAATATTTTTTATTGTGGTAAATATTAATCAGAGAAATTCTTATAAAATTCTTTAGATATACCATATTATCCCACGATTACCATAATTTTTAGGATAAATTCTAAGAGAAAATTCTCTTCTTGTAGAATGTCCCGAGTTGTCTCTATAATACAGCTGCTTTGATTAATTTGCAGTTTGTTTTTTTCTTGGCAATAATGACATAATTAATAGTAAGTTTCCATTACACATCTTTCTCTAATTAATCTTAAAAAAAACTATCCATTTAAAATTAATTAAAGAACGTATAATTTTAGTTTCTAAGTGATTATAGATTGTGTGAAGCGCGAAAAGGCTTTTATAATCGATCATTAAATAATAATCAATCATTCTCGATAATTGGAGACACATAAAATTTGCAAATCTCAAGGATTTCTTTTTATAGAAATTTTGAACGAAGCGATGAGTTTTATAACGAGACACACCGAACATCTGTAATCTACCTGCCACATCGGACGTGTAGTTGGCAATTTGCCGAACATCCACTTTTACATTTTCAAAGAATTCACAAAGCGTAATTAACCGATCTCTTTTTCGTTTTGTCCAGTCACTCCATTATGTCGCACAACCGGTGTTTTCATTAGAAACTCGTCACAGAATATACATCATTTTTGTATATTTTCTTCCGTTCATTCAAGCTACACGTCTGTTCGTTTAGAATTAATTTATATCTATTCTATTCATTTCCTAGATATTCGCAATTTTAATTATTTTTGACAAAATGACATCTCTAATCAAATTTCCACCACACATTTTCGATTTAATATATTATATAATAAGTTTATACTCAAAATTGCCTCGATATATTAAATTAATATATTAAGAGTATCTTCTGTGAGGATCTTCTGAAATTAATTGACATGTACAGAAAAACTATATTCCAAGCACTTAGAGCTAGAAATAGAATCTATACGTGTATATGGAATCTACTTTGATAGATAGAGTATGCGAGAAACATCTTGGCGGTTTGAAGCAAAACGGAGAGACCGGATGCAACGAATAGAGATTCGCGCGCATTGCCTCGCGTATCGTATTAATAAAATTAAGAAGACTGATTTTGCGAATCATATACGCGACCGCGATCTATAAGCGACGTGGGTCGTGCGTGCCATCCTGCACGTTTCCCGCTTGATAATGCATTACACACACGCACATACGCAGGTGTGCGTCCGATTGTTCGTACGTTGAATTGCGATCGTGTATCCGGATCCGGACCCTCTGCGCGCAATTAGAGAAAGTATTAGAAATAAGAATTAAGTATTTTTCAATAATAAAAAATCGAAAAACTCTGATATGCAATACAAATTCAATAAGTATATAGCTTATTAGTTCTTGATACGAAAGTCCTTTTATACCTACACGGAGAGAATTTTCTTTTAGAGTTTACCCTCAAAATCATGTATTGTATAACATCTATCACAATAATATGTTCGATTAATTGTACATATTAATATTTTTTATTGTGGTAAATATTAATCGCAGAAACTCATAAAATTCTTCCCATACCATATCGTCCCACGATTGCCATAATTTTCAGGGTAAATTTTAAAAGAAAATTCTCTCTGTATAATTTTGTATTTTTATATTAGTCTTTTCGATTTTAATTATTTTAAAATAATTCTTATTCCTAAGATTTTCTCTAATTATATGTAGGATCCTAAATCCCGGATTCTTCCTTTTTTTGCGGATTCTGCCGCGTGAAAAGGATATACAATAGAAAAAATATAATTTAAATTTTAAAAAGAAGAAAAAAAAGAAGACAAGAAGAGGGATTAAAGTAAAATAATAAAAGAAATAGAGAAAATAGAAAATAATGAAAATTTAAAAAATGGAAAGAATCTAATGTAGAAAAAATTGTCTAAAATGAAGTAAGAGTAATAGAGAAAAGATGTATCATTCCTAATAGATAAAAAATAATGAATACGCAATCGTTAAGCAATCATGTTGAATCAAGAGAAGAGCAAAGAAACTTCATTAATCTATAATTGAATTCCTATCACGCATTCAGCACTTTTGTTATGCATCGCCATGCACTTGTCGCGACGACCGATGTAAAAATAACATACACAAATGATGAAATGTAGGAGATAAAAATATGCCAGTCTAACAAACGAGATAGACAGACGAGTGACGTAAAGTGGTGTCGCGCGGTAAATTTTTTTTTTTTACCTCACGTTGCACTTAACAATAAAGTTGCGTCGAACATCGATTTATTAATCGCGGAGAAGATGATTGAGGACAAGAAATTCACAGACAAATCAGTGTTGTCCTAGTGGCTCGTTGACCTCGTTGTTTTATTACTCGGTTCTCGAAGGGGCTCGCAATAATTGCGATCACGCGCGATTTGTTGTATTTTATTGTCGCAGATGTTTCTTATCGAGAGCACTTTATGTTCGCCAGAAAAAATTGCTCTCTTTATCTTTCTCTTGACAGCTGTGCGTCTCGTGATTTTATTTGCAAATGTAAAATTAGTCCAAGGATGATGCCCGTCTATTCGCGACAATCTTTTAGCTTATTTTAACGGAGAAAGAAGTGACTTTTTGCGAGTATCTTCTCTCATAAGGGAAGATATTCTGCTTTAATCTGCAATTATATAAATTACACACATCAGTGAAAATTGTATACAATTTTATTTATACCGCATGACACATTATCGAATTTAGTCACGTTTTGAATAACCTACACCCGAAATTTTGATAAATACTTTGGTATGACATTTTAAAGATAAAAATTTGCCGTTGAAGATACAGATGTATGTACATATATATAAAATTATTTATTCGTTGTTAAGATTGATGAAAAGACAAAGGCTACGTCACGTGCGATAATTTCGTGCAACGTCATTTTGGTTTTAAGCAAAATTGAAATATGCGTTTGACTTTATTTAATTTAAAAAAAAGATAAAGATAGATTTTACTTAAATTTCGTTTAAAACCAAAATAATAAAGTTGGTGCAATTGGGCCTAAATGCGTTATAACTTCCACAACAAAACTATCAGAGTTACTTTGTGTTTGTCTATGAAAAGTATTACATAAAAACATGTAAAATTACATAAATAATAAGTGTAAAATATTACATAATGTATATGAAAATGTATACATTTTTATCGTGTAATTTTACACTTATTATTGATGTAATTTTACATATTTTTAGGTAATATACTTAACATTTTTTTACGGTGTATTACGCTGTGCAAAATATATACAGAATCAAATGAAGCGAATTAATATCATGTTGGCAAAGTTGCACGCGCGCATTTAACTTGTTGAGGGCAAAAAAAGGGATGGCATGTCGAGGTGCTTGAACCAGGGAATGCGTATCCTTATAACAGCACCGGTATAAAACACACGCGACACTTCGGAGAATTTCAAGAGGGAAAGAGAGAGAGAGTCACGCGTATGCATATACATATATGTGACACGTGCTTGAACGTGCAAGAATTATATTTATTCGTACATCTTCGATATGCCACGGGCATAAAAAATGCGTGTCATCCCGGCAGGAAGCGCTTGCTGAAATTTATTAACGAGCTCTTCATCATCTTCATGCGTGGCATTTTTAATATTTGCGTGATACAAGAATTAAATGATAGTATTTAAATATATATTCCATTGATGTATCTCTCTTTTTCTCTTTTTCTTTTGTATATAGTATCCTTATTGAATATTAATAGCTTTGATCTCTTTGTATTGCGAATATATTTTTATAATATATTTGCGTAAAAAGCTCTCTGCGATGCGAAAATAAATATAATAATTATAATAAAATTTATAAATATATGTATATATAAAATTATATATTAGGAAAGATGTTCTACATGTCCTTGAACTCAATTCTGAATTGGACAGACAAATCTATATAAGTGTTAATCACCCGTTTGCGTAGAGCGTTCCCAGACACCTTCAATCTCGACAGATTTATTTGACTTTGACGTCACGTCGACGCATGCATTAAGCGAGACGCGTCGCGAATTATCTAACGATGAAATTTTTTGTCTTCGATATCGCGACCCCGCAGACCTGCACACATCGTGTGTTAAATAATATAATTCGAGATACTCGGAAAATATTATCTAATATTGCAAAGATATGTGTCGAGTACGCCCGGTGAGATCATATCTCGTAAATTATTGCATCAAGTTTACATCATCGCTGTAAACTTTCTTGTGGTGATAAGAATTTAGGAGAAAAAATGGAAAACATCTAATCGAGCCATTTTTCGAACGTGATTTTGATCGAGATAATGTATTTTCTAAGTCACCTTATGAAAAATAACTTTTCGTTAAATAATTCTCAGTCTAAAATTTGATGGAATAATTAAACAATTATATATACAGATATATCTATGTATATGAAAATATCAAGAAAATTAATATTTTCTTACATAAAAATAATGAAGTTTTTTTTTACAAATTATTGATAATTAAGTAGTGCTTTTTTAAAACTAAATTAAAATTTTCACAATCTAGAGAGACCAAGATATTAAATCCATAATTACCTCTCTTTGCAGGATTCTCTTCCACACGACGCAACCCACTCATATAATCACGATCGTGGCAATTTTGTTCGTCGCATCGGTCCTCGTTCCAACGAAGGAAAAGGCGCAGGCTTCTGACCATCCTTACTCCAGGATGGCATCCTTCATTTACCTCGCGTCCTTCGTCATTCATTTTGGTGCGCAAATCTGGATGACTTTCGTATCAGGTAATCAAGAAATATTGAAATATTGGAATAAAGAATAGAGAGATTCTTACCTCCTCTTCTTGCAGAAGTTTCTATAATTCATTGCTATTGTCTTTCAGGTCTATCCTTATACTTTGCTTTGCCACGACACGCTTTCGGTGAGGTGCAGCGTGTTCTATTTCCGAGATACTTCACCATCAACGCGTGCTTGAGTCTCACCACGCTGCTCATATTCGTCAAACACCATCCGGCATATACGTGGGATGCCGAAATCGCTGTTCAGGTATGGATGATATCTTGAAAAAAGAACAAACAAACTTTATTTTTACATGTAGCATTTCTTTTCAATAGGTACAATATAATTTTCCCGTTTAATTTCCCAAGTAGCAAACTGACGTTATTAAACGTCAAAGCGACGTCGTTTTGCCGTCTAATGACGTATGCTTGCTACCTTGTTTTTTTTTTAAATATAATAACATTGAAGAAAGAGGGACGGATAAAAAGAAGTGAAATTTGGGCTATGCGTAGGTCGGCGCGATGTCCGGAGCCTTCTTCTTGGAGCTGCTGATACGTCTCTATCTGACACCTCCGCTGCTCCAGCTGATCGTGCTGAAAAACAACCTGGAACGCGCAGCTGGTATCGGGAACGAGATCGGCGGTCACCACGCCGGGCCGTTGAAAAACTGTCCGCACTACTTGAAGATCAATCAGGCATTCCGCCGGGTCCATGTGTCCATCGCCATGGGAAACATGCTCACCATGGCATGTACGGTGCTTCATCTTTATTACATTGCGAGTAAATTATGCGTTCTGTAAGAGCAGTCTATCAATTTGAAAAAATGTGTATGCGATGTACGAGATCGTTCGAGATAGTGGGCTATCTCGACTGATGGAATCTAGAAGAACTAATCGTGGAAAAAAACGCGTCTTATACGCGATAATAAAGGTCAAAGTACCGAAAAGTTCGGACCTCGCGATGCAAAATGCGATCTTACCAGTCATTAAAGTCACTCGCGACTATAAGAGACTATATAATGAGTCTTTTAATTGCTTGGAATTTTACGCCTCGAGGATGTCGAGGATTTTAGTATTCTAGTATTGTGCTCTATCATGGTCTGAGCTTATTCTATATTGAAGTAGAGTAAGTATTCAGCGAAAAGAGAAATTACATAACAATAATTATTTGTACGACAATAATTAAGTCACGAGAAAATCAAGTCGAAAGAAAGATAAAAAATGAATTATAAAATTTCTCGCAAATTATGATCTGTTTATAATATTCGTTGGTAAAACTGTGTAAATTATTGCTAAAAGTAGTGCAAAACGCGTGCATGTGTAACTTGTAAGAGTGTCTCGCGACTGAATGGATGTAATTTATTTGTCGACATTAAAAAGAGAAGTTAGTCGATGCTTCTATAAATAATATCTCAGATTAAAATATACTTAATTTACTTGACTTAGAATAGACGTATGTAAAACTATCATTATACGTTTATTCAAATCTCTTAAGGCATAGATTCTTGCCAAAGCGTATTTTTTTGTCTTATATCGACATGCGAAAAAATAATTATTGAAGTATATTAATTAAAAATGTATTAATGCAATTAGATAAAAACATTATTCTGCCTACGATTAAGAAAATATCGTGGTTTTTTTTATATGTTTAGAAATTTTTTTAAATAGTTTCGCGAATCACAAAAAGAACACTGCTTACTACATTGGAGGCAATAAAAGTATCATATATTTACTCTGTATCAGAGTTAATAATATTTATTGAATTAGCAAGAGAAATTGCGTACTAAAAAAAATCATGTCTACACACACACACACACATACACGCGCGCGCGCAGCAATGTCAGTCTAAATCAAAATGAATGCGGAAGAATTGACGCATTCATTTTATATAATTGACCGAATTGTGGACTCGTACATACACAGAGCTCATTATTGTAAATAATTGCATTTTGCTCGTTTAACATTTGTAAATCGCAAGATATTTCATATTATTATTATTATTGTAATACATGCATGTTGTTTTTGTAAAAATTTTATTCTTATTAATTCTTAATATACCTTTTTATGTAAGTGTGCGTCAACCTCAATTTAATATAATAATTCGGTAATCTCTGCGTAATACATTTTGAATTGCTAATGAATATTATTATATGATGGGCTACTGATAAATTAACTTGCTAATTCGGTATCTATATCAATGATGATATAATCATTGAATACATGGTGTATTCGTAAAATTGGGGGAGCGTCATTATATATAATATACATCTTCATATATCAAAAATTTACATCTATATAAAAATCTGTACAATACATACTAAAAATTGTGGGTAATCACAATAACATGATCACATTCGGGAAACTAATACTACATTATGGTTACTGTTGTAATAACAGTAAACTATAAAATTGTATGAATGTCCACACAATTTAAAAAACCGGTTTAAACCGACCGATTTAATGACCCGAACAATTTTAAATCATTATTTCTATTATTATCAAGTATATATTTCTATAAACGTATATATACAATTAAAATAAAAGAAACGAAACGATGGTGTTTATAGTTTCCCTGCTGGACAGGATGTCTAAAAAAAAAAAAAAAAAAAAAAAAAAACCTCGGATATATCTGAATTAAAATTAAAAACAAACGTACTTCGATGTGAAGACAGTCTTTAATTTAAACTCGAAGAATCTCGGCCGCTTTGTTGTAACAAATGGCTATCCAATCAGGCTGCGTAGCGCCCCACTGAATCTGATTAACTTCACCTTCTGCGGCGGTGTAAGCGAGTATAGGATCCTCAATCGCTCTTGGCATTTGTTGAATATCCCAAATCAAGGCTTGGTTATCATCACCAGCTGTACAAATATGACAAGACGAATGTGGAGCCCAAGCTATACCATTAACACTGGCTCTGTAACAAAAACAGACGATTAGTCAAAGAAATTCTTACTGAAATCAATACAACAGATATTTCTGCATTACATACAATATTGTATAAATAACAATCATGGACAGATAGTTAATATTACATCATTTTATATTGACCTGTGATTACTTAATCTCGCGACTGGCGTGCACGGCACACGAACATCGAGAATGATAACTTCGCACGCGTCCATCGCTACAGTAGCGAGATAATTGGGATCCTGCTTGTTCCAAGCCAAACGCAGGAGCGGAGTGTGTTGAGGATCCTCGTAGATTATCGTCGAGTGCTCCAAGTGTCGCAGATCAAACATCCGCACAGATCCATCAGCGCCGACAGACGCGAACATGTCGCGACCACCTCCGGCGCGACTAAACGCGATGTCGTATACTTCCTTGTCGTGTGCAATCAGTTGGGTTTTCACATGACCAGTAACCATGTTCACTCTGCCCAACACCTGTCCTGTCTCCAAACACCATATGGTACATGTAGTATCGATGCTAGAAGTCCCCATTAGATTTGGATCCACCTCGTTCCAATCAAAGGATGTAAGTGGCGCACAGAAATCTGAGTTTTTATTGTTGTTCAGGACACATTCTAAACGAGTCTCTGGCTCCGCAGCACGCCAGACTCTCAGGTAATCGCCAGACGTGGCGAGAAGATCGGGAAAAAGACCTAACAAATATTTATTTCGTCGTTAGTACTGATCCAGAAGATTACAAATTAAAAAATATATATGTAATATATATTACATAGTATATATATATATAAGTACCTTTACTGTCTGGTATCCACATAATTTTTGTAGTGGGATAAGGATGATCGAATGTACTTTTAGCACTAAATTCAGACGTCTCTTCGTCCAGTGAAACAATCTGTACTTTGTTGTTGTACTCTTCTACAAAACTTCCCAGTGCCAAACGAAATCTTTTGTCGGGTCTCACCGACCAGTTCATGCTGTACAATGGCCATGGGGCCTCATACTTGTAGATCTCTTTTCGCTTCGGTGGAACGGTGTGCATAGCCATGATTAAGTTGTAATATTCTTGTCCTTATTGCACTAAAAGCAATTACCTTAATTTCAGCGATACATTTTAAGAATTTTTTCAGAAATAGAATTATATGCATCATAGTTCAAATAATAAAAATGAATGTGCATTATTAGTAATAAGTATTTAAAATAAAACAATAAATAATTGAACTCAAGAAGCAGGAAATTTGTTATCAATTAACCTCTGATAAGTGTGTTGTTGCAGGAAAACTGCTGAGACTAGTCTGACTGTAAGAAGCTTAAATCTCTGTAACAATCATATCACTGGAAGAAGCAAGACCATTTAAGTTACAAAAATGGAAAGATTCACACATCCCCGAGATAAAAACCACGGAAATCCACACAAAAATTATTCACGAACGTTTCACAATTGCGGTTAATGTATTTCGAGTATAAAATGGCGTCTCTTGGAGATTTTCGTAGCTAAATCTCGACAAGAAATTTGTCAAACTCCTTCTTCTGTGAATCTTCAATTTATCTTTTCCAAGCTCTCTCGAATTTATCATTAAAAACGTACGAAATCCTCACAAATAAATGTCACGACACGTTTGATAAACACCGTGACGTTGTGAGACGCTCTGTATTTCATGAACTCTGCATTTTATAGATATACATTAATGCTTCTTATTCTGGACAAAAATCTTTTGTCCAAATTGACCAATCAAACGCTTCGAATAAATTCCTTAGCCACATTTTTCTTCCCGTAGAGTTTTCTTTCTATATATTTTATATTCATTGATGTGTCACTTGACAGCTGACCGGGACCGAGATGTGTTTATAGATACTTGTTTATTTGTAAAAAGCATTTTCGTGCAAAAAAAATTATTGTAATTTATTATGGCTGGAGAAGTAATTGTTGATGCATTGCCATATATCGACCAGGGATATGATGAACCTGGCGTGCGAGAAGCGGTAAATAATAAATTTTAGGTTGTCGGAAGTCATGACGTATTTTTTCTGTTTTTTATATTTTTCAAAGGTTTTTTGCTTATATATAGTTAATTATTGTATTATAATACGTCATGACTTTTCGGACAATCTAATTTAATATTTTTTTATCGCAAATGAATAAAATAAACAGTTGGAGGTCATATTCCTGAAGATGTGTATGTTGTAAAAAATTTTCGTGTATTTTGTTTTTATAAGATAATCTGAAATCTTACTCCGTCTTTCAGGCATTGGCGATGGTAGAGGAAGAGACACGTCGTTACAGACCGACAAAGAATTATTTGGAACATTTGCCACCTCTGAATATAACCGCGTTTGAGACAGAAGTGTTAAAACACGAGTTTGAGAGGATGCAGAATCGTTTACCGATGGAAGTGCTTAGTATGAAACGTTACGAGTTACCACCACCTCCATCTGGCAAACTCAACGATCTAGCAGCATGGAACGAAAGTGTAGAAAACAGTAGCGCACAGCTAGAGCATCAGGCTACCAGGTAGACAAGGATTTATTATCGGTTTGTCAGAGTGGAATCTCTGGTATTATTTTTTTTTACATTTATTTGTACAATTTCAGAATTTGTAATTTAGAATTAATGATGAGCTTTGGCTGTGAAGCATGGAAATCTTATCTGGAAGTGTTGGTTCAGTTGGTGGGTCAGGCTCAGAAACAAATGCAGGTACTGAGGAAAATGATTCAAGAGGTCAACTGGCAGAGAAAGTCGATGCAGACTCAAGGAGGCGATAAATTGAGAGCACTGGAAGCGCAGTGGGTCGGTTTGGTATCGAAAAATTACGAGATCGAGCAAGCTTGCGTGCATTTGGAGGAGGAAATACAGAAAATAATGTTGAATAAAGAGGCTGTGGAAATTAATGATGTACCAGCAGAAGAAGGACCCGATGTGCCGGAAAAAAGTGCTACAGAAGTTATGGCGATACAAATGCAGCAGCAAGAGGATCAAGAGACTTAGCGTAATTTGTATATAATTTTTAGTAAAAAGAAAAGGAAATAACGCATATATATATATATATATATATCAACACAATGGACTCGCATATTTATAAATGCATTACAAAGACTTCGATAATAAAGCACAATTTATTACATTGTTGTTTACACGTATCACACTTGATTTACGGTTTTACAATATACATATGTACACGATTATCACTGTTGCAATCGATACACTTTACTAATTAACAATTATTTATAATTCGTGCTGAATGCTCCGTATTAATAGGCTACTTGCGTTCGTGTATCGACAAATTGCACACATTGCGTAGGCCTAGCTGAGTTTTTTAAATTCTCATTAGGGGATATATATATATATATATCTCGTAATAATTACAAAGCGAATGGCTAAGCATTTTTACTTTCGGCCGATTATTCGGTATAAAAAAATACGTGAGTTTAATCTTCGTTTAACAAGTCTCATCTTCTCGCGATGACAAGAGAGACGTTAAGAGTAACTGTTGGATCATCAAGCTTGTATATCGTGCCGGGTTTTCCGTCATTCAGTCACTCGACTGTCATAATGATGTCTCGCTGGCACCGGAGCTTTGAGACTGCAGTGCTATGCTTCCTTTGTAGCCCATCGATTCCTCCTCTAATAAAGTTATTCGTTGCTTCAAGGTTTTCACCTGCAAGCATGAAGATTAAATTAACATTCGGTGCACTAAAAATTTAAAAATAAATATATCTCCTTATATAGCTATAAATTCTATTTCAATTCCTATTATTAGCATGTATGAATGAATGTATGAATGAATGTGTGCATACGCGCATGCGCATCGGGGAAATAATTCAATATCAATATGGCGACAGTCGACTGGCACGAGTAGTTGCATAACTCTGTATCTGCACATTTTTAATGGGATTTTCTATTAGAAGATTGAACAGACTAATTGACAAGTGGCCGGGGAAACGAATATTCCGCGAGTACCGATTTCTGCCAATATTTTTCGTCTTCGGAGCGGCCTTGGAATATTCTATGATCAATTGGCATGTGGGAGAGGTTAATTTCTACAAAACGTACAAGCGTCGAAGGGTAGAAGAGCTAGTGGCGGAGAGACTACAGCGGGAGGCTTGAAACGAATTGCACACAAAGTGTCTTCTACTGGGACATTGACACATATATAATGCCAGGTGGATTATCTTGGCCACGGTACATCATGTTCTGTACAACGGCATTGGTTACGATGCTAGCTGGTGCGCAGTGTGTTCATGAAATCTACAGACCGTTGAACGATCTCGAGGATCTTGTTGAACGAAGGTTAAAAGAGAGACGGAAGGAGCTAGAGAAGACATAACATAGAAGAAGACTGTATTCTAGTGTATAATAAATCACATTGTTCTTATGAATATGGAGGGATTAAAGCTGATATTTCATCTATATTTAATCATACCTGCGCAGCATGCCTCTCTACCATTCCCAGCATCTGTTGCTCCAGCTTCTTCAGTCTAGATTGATATTTCTTCTTGGACTTGTCCAGAGTTTGAACTAATGCGCTGAAAAGAGGGCAGAAAACATTTTTATTTATTTATTACAAGTGCGAAAACGCGAGCAAAAACTCCACTTACCCGTTAGCTCTTTTCAAGTCGTTGACCAATTCGGCGGATTGCTGATGCCTAAGTTCGGAATTCTTGTTGACTTCGTCCAAGGTCGAGATCAATTCCTGTAGACGTTCCTTCAGCCTCGCCTCTCTGCCTAACGCTTCGATTAGCTCAGACTCCATTCCCTCGCTCTCATTGTCGCTCAAACCGCGGTCCTAAGGGCGTTTTCAGTTAATCAATGGAAGAAGATGAAAAATTTTAAAAATACATTTCAGATACACGATACCTTGTTCGTCGCCATCGCGAGCATAGCTTCCGCGTCGCTCAGTTGACCCTGGAGATGCTGTATGGTGGCGTGTTGAGCCGCGATCTGCGTGTCACGTGCGTTCAACTTCAATTCTATGGTAGCGCGTTCCTTCTCCAGAAGGAACACTCTGGCGCGCAGTTCGGCCTTGTCTTCTCGCATGGCCATCAGTTCCTAAATAATTATTAGATTCTTGTAAAATATAAGATATTCGAAAGTTTCAAAATTTTAAAAAATGTTAATCTAAATTTTATAAATATTTTTAATCCTTTATATAGTTTAGAGATTTATAAACTTATTCTAAAATTTTCCTCAGCCGGACCTGCATGAGTACAGCAGTTTCCAAGTCAAGTTTCCTAGCTTCCGCCAGAGAGATGGTGTTCTTCGAATTCAGGGGTTCCGCGTGCACGCTTTCTAATTCAACCGCTGTCGATCTCACCATCGTACGTTCTCCCTTCAATCTGCTAATGTGTCTCCTGAGTCGTTGCTCGTCGTCCACGTTCCACATTACTTCCGATCTGTCATCAGAGAAAAGAAAAAAAATGTATTCATCACACATACATATACACTATTTGCGATGTAAAGTAATACGCACTCGTCCGATAAGACCATGCTATCTTCCCACGGGGCACCTAATGTATTAGTACAGTCGTTCTCGATTCTATTTAAGACATGATAAGCAACGTTCTCGGCCGCCCTTCGGTTATCGATCGTCACGCTGCTCCTCTCGGTGGAGAGTCCGATTTCGCTTTCCAGTAGAGCAACGAGAACGTCGTAGGCCTCGATAGCGCGATCGCTGTACGAAAGTGCGAGCCGCAACGCCGTCGCGTTCGATTCATACTTGCCGACCAATAGGCTCAACCTAATAATCAAAAAGACCATCAACAAATGTAACGTTGACTCCTGTCATTCTGACGACATATACCTGTCGCATTGCGCCTTGCTCTCGTGCAACGTGAGAGCGAGAACCGCGTTGTTCGCTCGCGCGTGCTCTAGTCTACTGTTCAATCGCTCCGTCTCAACCTCGAACTGCTTCTCGGAGCCGTTCAGTTCCTGCAGATTTGACTGCTCCAGGAGATCCGACACGAGATGCTCGGCGACCATGGTGGAGCATACCTGAAATTTCGCGTAAACGCGGATTTTAGAACTTAAAAAAAGGCAATAAAAATAAATATAAACGATGTATTCTTTGTTAAAAATCTCGCATACTCCAAGATTAGTGATGTCCGGACCGGTAATGTGCCTCTCGTCCGTCCTTCGCAATCTCACCCTCTCTGCCATTTTGAGAACCGGCGGCTCCTCCCTCGTTACATTCTTCGTCGGAGGTGTCTGTAGTGGTGGTAAGAGCGGCGAGCACGGCGCCGTCAAAGGTTCCGGCGAGCTGGTATTACCTCTTGTCTAGAGGAAGAGAGAAAAAACGGCGTATAAAAGAGCGAAACCGGAGTTGTGATAAACGAGCCTCTTCAACCATTTTTTTCTGTTCTTAATCTTATTATATATATTAATCCTTGTCACTAATTCTGTGGTAATACAATATTTATTTTTTTGATAAAAATATATGAAAAATAGCTCTTCACATATCTAATTAATATATTTATCTGTATCTGTTGTCAAAAAAAAATTGCTCCGAATTTACCCTGAGTTCTCGACGAGGTGAATCGCTACCCGTTGTCTGCCTCTGATTACCGGTCTGATTATTCTGGTTCTTGCAGTGAGTCAATTGCGCTTGCAAGCTCGTAATCTCCGCTCGTAACGCCGTGATCTCCTCTTGGAGCGTTGTGACGACGTCGCTCTGACACGACGCTTCTTGCTGCGTCGGCTCTGGAGTCGGCAATGCGGCCGGACTATCCAGCTGTTCTCTGCCATTCTATGTTAAAAAATAAAATCATATAATTCATATACCATATATATATTATCATCTTATTAGGTCTTAGCATCAGGATATAAAATATATCATTATTCGTAGGATGTTATCGTGAGATATTATAAGCAACGCAACAAGAATAATTCGAAGAGGGGAAAAGTATTTGAACAAATTTCTTTTTTACCTCGACCAGTCGATTCTCATCCTCGCAGCAACTGGAATCAGCATCTCCCAAGGTTCGATCACCGTCTCCCTGAATGTCTCCACCGCCCTCACTTTCCTCTACTGGATTGGTGATGGAACCTTCAGCATCCCTGCTCGTCTCGACTTCTGCACATTAAAAAATATGATCCTTAGATATATAATGATCGATACATTCCGAAATTTCGCGCAAAGGTTTCTCCGCAATCGCGATTCGGAGAGATCGCGTCTACTCTGGCAACCCGGACGTTGAATTTATAGGAAGGGATACATCAAAGAATCCTTGAAAGAGAGAGACTCGACTCTTCTTCTTATTCGTAACGAGAGGGCCATGAATCGCGAGAGAAAAAGAACACTTTCTCTTAGAATTTACCCTAAAAATCATAAGACAATATGATATTGGAAGAATTTTATTACAGTTTCTCTGTGATTAATATTTACAATAAAAAATATTAATATCTACACAATAAGATATATAAAATATGTTCGATTAATTTTATAAAATTTACTATGTGCATATTAATATTTTTTATCGTGGACACTCTTATAAAATTCTTCCAATCCCATATTGTCCCACGATTACCATTATTTTCAGGATAAATTCTAAGACAAAATTCTCCCCATGTAAAATGTACTATATATTTTTTTATTGTGATAAATATATTAATTAAAGAAACTCGTAAAATTCTTCCAATACCATATTGTCCCATGATTTTCAGGGCAAATTCTAAGAGAAAATTCTCTCCGTCTATCGTCATTGTTGGAGACCAAGAAGAGATGATTGATGGTCCCGAGAATTGACCGTTCGAAGGCTCTCTTCATCCCTCTTTCCGGAGGAACAAATACGCGGAATCGTCTACCATATCCGTTCGCGACGACATAAATAGACGACACCACCCTCTTACCGGACTCGTCCTCCTCGGCGATGACGGTGGCGCGATGCCGCTCCAGCTGCCTGCCGAGCTCGGCGATGACGGAATGCAGCTCGGTGAGCCGCTCCTCGTGCCGTGCCGCTTGTTGCTCCGCTCGCTGGTCGGCGCGGCCCGCCTGGATCTCCGCCCGCATCAGGGCGGCCTCGGCCGCCTCTCGCGCGCGAGTAGCCGCCACCAGGCGCGAGTTCAATTCGGCCACCTCGGACCGCAGGGAGGAGAGCGCGGCCGCGTGCAGCTGCGAAATCAAATTCCACCTAAGATTCTTCCAATTTCGAGATATCCTTTAATTGGACAAAAATTCTTTAGTATTGTGTTTAGATGATTTTTCAATTATCTATATAAATAAAGATGAGATAAAAGTGTGGAATTTCATTCCTAAGATAAAATGAAGATAATTTTGAATTTAAATATATCTAGATAAAACGATAAAATTATATAGCGATTCATCTAGATAACTTTTAGATAATATATTATTTTTAAAATTGTTATAAAAGAAAATTATAAAAGATATATAAAAATACATTCGTACTTTTATTTATAAGTTTTTATCCCTTACTGCTTAAGTTCTATTACTTAAGTATTTTTATGTATTATAACTTTAAAGCAAATTATCTGAATATTATTCTAAAGGTAATACTTTTTCCACACACACATCTAAGATGTAGATTTAAATAATATATATTATTGTTTAAACACTGTTCGTAATAAATCGAAAGACTCTGATATACGGAGTGTATCTAAATAAGTGTGCAAAATTGTAGATAATTCTTTATTGAAAATTAAGGGGGATTACTTTTATATTTCTCCCTGAAGAATTACACTTTTCTAAAGAGGAAGGTAAAAATTAAGTTTCTATTTTTTTTCTCAAACAGACAAATTAAAAAAATGAAACTTGGTGGATATTTTCCATTTCAAAAGTGTAACCCTTCAGAAAGGAATATAAGAGCATGTTTATATGAGAAACTCCCTTTAATTTTTGACAAAGAATCATCTTCTAAAATGTTTCGCACTATTTAGATACATCCTGTATAAATATAAATTTAGATACAAAAGAGGCCTCACAAATATTAGGCAGATCTTCGGCAAATCAATTGAAAATATTTTTTATTATTATATATGTATGATGTAAAATGAATCTTCTTCGCTATTATACATTAATGATATAAAATTAGATAAAAAAATCACATAAAATTTTATTGCCGGAAGTTAAAAACCTCTCTCTCGTGACAAGCTCTAATTTTACATGTCTCGTAATAAATAAAATTGGTATAAATAAAATTTCTCAGAATGCATGAATCGATCGAATTAAGTTGACTGTATATATTTTTATTATATAAGTAGTATAGCATCATAATATCTTTATAATATATAATGGGAGCTGGATAATAGTCTAAATATACATTAAAATAACGCGCAAAATACTTTTGTCGCGTGAATCAGCGCGCTAATAGCCTGACTAATTTACATGCAGTGATGTAACGTGATTAGTACCGCGGATCGAGTGAGATCTCTCGATCATTAAAGGTGAAAAAGAACAAATGATACACGTATCACCGGCGCGAATCGCGCGAAAATATGTTTTTCTTCCTCGCTTCTTCCTCTTATGATTTTCTTTCTTTATACACGTAAACACATGGGAAGTGCGTTAAAAAAAAAAAAAAAAAAAAAAAAAAAATATCGCGGCCTTCTCACGCGCAGCCACCCGTGTCGGATGTTACGAGACATTAACAATTGTCGACCGCGTGATTGCAGAGCGATTCGGAGGAGAGGAAGACGAAGTGGATAAACGGTATAAGAACAGTCGGACGCGCGATTATGGGATTATTCGTCTCTGAGATATTGTCGGTGCAACGCATAGATCTTGACGCATCTAATCCCCGATTTTGCGCATCGAAGATTCAGGTAATATCGAATTTTTTGCTTGATGTGAGAAGCATCAGAAGTCCCGCTTTTTTAAACCGATCATCAATAACTCAAAGATTTTTAATTTAATTTTTTCCGTATTTCTATTTGGTTTTTAATACAGGTATTTATTTTAATTTTTTTTCTATAATTTAATTTTAATTTTATATATCTATTGAAATTTATTAATTTTCAAATCAAGAGCTCATCATTCATAACTAGAAGATTTTAATTTTAATTTAATTTTGTTTTCTATTTATAATTATATAGAGTGTTTCTAAAACTATGTCAGAGATTTTAAGTAGTTATTCTAGGGGTCAAAATAAGAAAAAATGTTTCTATAAACATGTGTCTAAAAATGAAAAGTAGCACCTTCATATCTCCCTCTTCAAATCAAATCAAATCAAATGATCAAAATCACATAAAAATAAAGTATTCACTACTAATTATTACGATGTGCAAAACTGCCAACGATCTATAAAAAAGTCTCCAAGAGCTATAATACATTTTTTTATTTTTTCTCCCAACTTTAGGGGGCTATACTTCAAAGGAAAAGCATTTTTATTTTGACTCCTAGAATACTTAATCTCTGACAGTTTTAAAAACACACTGTATTATATATTTAATATATTATTAATTATTAAAAATTGTTTCTACAACAAATGTATTCACAAAAGGCCAACTTTATGTGTGTTTATATAATATCGGAATATTTAGTCGCAAATTATGTGTGTTTATATACTATCGGAATGATGTGCCTAAACTGTTGATGTCATCATTCCGATAGTATATAAACACACATAATTTGCGACTAAATATAGTTCAAAGTGAGGTGTCTTGTTAGACGGTTGGTTTCATCTATTCATAATAATTTAAAAATTTTTTTTAAAAAATTGTGTTAAATTGTGAGAAGAAGCGACACAAAGTAAGCATAATAAATTTATGTAAGGCCTTTTATCTATTAGTAGATATACGTTAATTGTTATTTATTTATCAATCACAGCGCCTATGGATATTAAAAATTTCTCGCTTAAAAACGAAGAAATAACTTACGAGATCCAACATCATTGACTCGAATTGACGGACTATTAGTAAATTTTAAGAATAGGATGATTTTTTTTTGTAGGAATTATAAATTGGTAACACTGTTGTACTGAGGAAGACCGCGTGCGGTTGAAACGTTTATATATGGAAGGTTTTTTGTAATTTCAATATATTGTTTATATGGAAGGTTTTTTGTAATTTCAATATATTGTTTATATAGAAGGTTTATAAAATAAATTTTAATTGGATACATCTTAACTATTGCTCGATAAGTTGGCCTTTTGTGAATACATTTGTTGTTTTATACAATACACGAGCGAATTAAAATTTTAATTATTGTTTCTACAATTTAATTTTATAAAACTCCCGTATGTTTATTGATTTTTTTATTTATATACTGCACATGCTGTTATACCATATATACATTTTATTATGTTCTCGTTTGCATTTAACTTGTAAAAATATTGTGCTAAACTTCCATTCAAAAAATCAATCTCCCTATATTTTCACAAGAGATTTACAAAATATTCAAAAACATATGAAAGAAAAACAAGAGCCTTCCACATATATAATTAAAACTATTTTCTACATGTATAATAATACAATAAATGATGTCAACAGGTGACCGAAATTAAGGATGAAGTCACTGTTGGCTCTGATGCTCGTCGTCGTAATTTCGACGGCGATCCTGGCGGACGATGACGACGATTACATGCGTCTACCAGGAAAAACTTGCGAAGACGCACCACCCTGTCCCGATAACAGAACCTGCGAGATGGCACCACCCCGTTGCAACAGCGGTACCTGCGGCACGGATCCGGTGCCGACGTGCGGAAAAAAAAAACCATAGACGTGCGAGAGGCCAGATTTGACGTTTGCGTTTATATCGCGAAAATTTGCTGTTCCCCGTAATAAAATGTTATTTCAACGTTGAGAAAAAAAAAATTGCGCGTTTACGCTAACTGTACATGAAATAAAAGGTTTGCCCAGAAGAAAGAGCCGTTTTGCGGAAATCGCGATATGAGAATGTATTTCGACAATCCCGGCAATGTTTAATGTTTCATTCACAAAGGATCCTCTCGTCCTCGGTTAAGGTCAGTGTATGCATTTGTGTGCGTCGGGGCCCAAGTGCAAACAGGGGAGACACGACGGCTGGAGTGTAATTCAAACAAAAAGCAATCAAGGATTCAATTACAAGGCCGCGCGCGCGAGCGCACACACATGCTCGCAGTTTGCAGTTTCATCGGCGAGTAAGGTCACGAACGAGGAGATTCGATTACCGAACTCGCCTTCGGACACGTCGAACCGTTCACTCGGACACAAACTCGCAATTAGTTTACATACAGTAATTTCCATATCGCGCGCGTTATTTCATTTTTGCGCGAGAATCGTAATCGCGGACGCGATAATAGGATTTTTTATTTTTCATTAATAAACTAAACGATAATATTTAATTTGATGGAAATATTTGTGTCGATACTGAAAATTTCTCCGTGAAATGGGAGATCAGAATTTCTTGAAAAATGCGCGATCGCGATTTGATTGCAACGCAAAAATGCGCACGGAATGTAAAAAAATCCCTTTGCGGAGTAACTTTCCGTGCTGATGAAAAAAAAGGAACAAGAGCCAGCCGCTACAGCAAAGATGGAAACACACAAGAATCCGTGGACCATATACCATTAACCTACATCTCGAAGCTGGTGGTACAAATAAGACAGCATTTTATACTACTGTGCATATATAGATATGCGGAGAGATGGAAAAATGGAAGATGCTAAATGTTTTTCGCGATCCAACGAGCCATACGTTTCTCGTCGATATCATATACGAGCCATTCCAAAGTTATTTTTGATCCGAAGTGCTATGCGATTATTGCGTTCTCGCAGCGAAATATCTTTCCTGTTTATATCTTGCAACTGGAAACACGCGCTCAAAAGAGATTAAACTTGATATAATGACGTAATATACAAATATTGAAATTTAGTTGCCATGTCTAAATTTTAACTATTTTTAAGTATCATTTAATGGAGAATTTCTTCCTTAATTATACTTAAAAAAATTAGTTACTATAGCTAAAATTAAACATGGTAACTATATTTTGTTTGAACAGCTATGAATTCGCGTTAATATTTGTCAATCGGCTACACTAAAAAATTATTTGACTTAACTAAACCTTTCAAATAAATATTATTTTGTTAATTGAACATATAAAAATATTCAAATTAAATATAACATATATTAAATCTAACAAAACGTACACGGAGAGGATTTTCGTTTAGAATTTAAATG